CAGTCACATTTCAATTATTATACATTATATATGTATATAGATTATTGCTATTTTGAAATAAGTTCTTAAACTTATTTTTCTTAAAACATAGAACAGTAAGTAAAGAAGTAAAGCAAACAATTAACTCTTCTAGTTACGACCTTTGTACTCGGTTGCTGCTTGATGTAGGTTGCTAAGGCTTAAAATTTTGCACGTGGAGGATATGAAACAAAATAATTGTTTTAGGTTTTATAAATACATTTGAATAACTAAAAAATCATAAATTACTACATCAATATCATAGAATTACACTATCATGCTTAGTAACTAAATAACTTAGTAACTAATTTTGAGCAGACTAAAGACACATCCTACCTCCTTGAAATATTGGTTCAAAAGAAAGAAATGGTGTCCAAGCCTGTTAAAATGGCTGAGAGAGCCACAAAAGGACATTCTGAGCTTCCATTTGGTTATTCATGTCATATATAGAAGTAAGTGTATATAAGGGAACATTTCCAAAAATGCAGAGAGGTGGGTAGGTTACCACTGTGTTTGATTTATTACATGAGCAATATCTTACCAAATAGAAAAAATAAGACATTATTATTTTATATTCTAGCATGTCAATATCAGTAATTTGAGTTTCTAATTCATACCAAATTATAGACTTAGTATTTCGACTTCACAAACATCTAATCTGAACCAGTGCTGCATTGAACATGCCACATGACACACACATGTTTATCTGTTTTTTTTTTAATATTTAGTTATAAATAAAGAAATTGAGTAATGTATGTACTATAATCTGAATTATAATCTACAGTTTGATACCAAACTTTCTGCCATAAATTCATGAAATAATAGTTCAACACAATTTTCAATGCGAGTCAACAAACAAGATGACATGGCCTTTCACCTGTGACCCTTCTCGAAAGGGTTAACATCCTCAGTATAAGAAACATTGAGGGATAGCAGAAGGGAAAGAACCGTCACAATCTGCAACTACCTCCACTGTGACCCACAACACTGATGCGGTACAAATGACAGAGGAATATAGACATCTGTAATACATGTGTGAAAACTTAAGTTGATTGGTTCTACTCTAAATTCAAAACCCAGCCACTGGGAACCAACATCCACATGGGGGTAAGATGAGGGATCCCAATCAAAGGAGTGAAATGTAATTTTGATGTCTCACTCCAACTTGTTTTATGTTTCATACTGGAGGATATCACATCATCTACACCAGCAAAACACCACCACCATACTCTCAACTAAATGGTTTTATAATCATTTATATATTTTGTTTATATTTCATTCACCTATTCAGGAGGATGCCTCCATGGTCCACCACCCCAGCAACTGAAAACTGGAAAGGATTCTCAAACTCCACTAGAGAAAAAAGGGGTAAAATACAGTGGAGAGTCTGGAGGATCAACAACACCCGAGACAGTCCTATGGGTGACCATGAAACCTTATTTTTTAAAAGCAAACCATACCTGTTCAGAATGACCTAACAGTAGCCAGTCATCCATATAATGATGAAAACACAAGCAGAGAGCATGTATGTGATGAGCAAATGCTCTGATCACCCGACAATAAACATACGGGGCAGAAGCAAACCTGATAGGCAGTGTGTGAAACTGATAAACCACCCCATGATCAACAAACCAGAAATATGGTCACGACTGATATGCAAGTAAGAATTCGCAACATCCATCTTGGTCATCCACAAACCTGGAGAAAATACTCCGGTTTTCTTGGGAACAACAAACAGCCTGGAATAAAAGTCTGGAGAAAGATGAAGAACAGGTTTAATGGTCTTGTACTACCTCTGACAGATGCTGGCAGGTGATAGGACCTCAAGGCATAGGAAAATGAAACAGATACCTGAGGAGGACAAGTCCCTCTGATCTGTGGTGAAAGATCACCAATGGAGAACAAATTCACACAATTGAGCTCCCACTGGGTAGTCACCAGTACTGTTGGTACCATGCTCATCTACATCAAATAAAACTATTAGATGAGGAACTCCTGGAGGGAGAAACAGGTAAGGGCTGAGAAGGACTAGAACAGGAAACTGAAATAGAGGCTCCTTGTGGTTCCAATTTTGACAAACAAGTTACCAAAGAGGAAAGGGTAGAGTGTTGAAAACATACCGCCAAAGAAAAGGGGCCACGTGTAAAATCCCTTTATAAGTGAGTGGCAAACAAACCTGGGACAAGGCCCCATCATGACCCAGAAGATCCCAATAACAGAGAAACCATGTGTGTGAAGTAAGAGCTAAAGACAACAAACGAGAAAATGTGGAGGTAATAAGGGAGAGGCTGTCCCCCAAAAAACCCTCGATGTAGCACCTCAGAAAGGAGATGGATGGATGGTAGATAAATACCGTAGAAGTTAAATAAAGGTAAGATGAAGGCATGAAAACTGGGCATTGGTTAAATGCACAAGAAATCAGGGGCCACCCCCACACAGGTAAAATAGACCCCAACTGCTGAGAGTCGATAAATGGACAGTCAGCTTGATGACAAACCATGCTGGCACCCTCAACCAAATGTGAAGCAAATTGCCCAGTATGAACCCTAATATCCGGGTAGTGGGTGGGATAAATACAGAAAGGAAGAACTATCATGGAACAAAGAAGGATCGATCAGAGGAAATCAGGGAAATGGATAAAACATCACATACCTGAGAAATCATGTTTAAAAATGCCATATGAGGCCTAGCTGATTCTGCAGGTTGGGCATGGAAAGACACGGCAAAATGGTGGTGGGAAAAGGTTATCAAAATCTTCATCAGCTCAAACAGGTTCAGCTTGTTCAGGGGGAAGTAAAGCAAGTTCAGGAGAAGGTGGTTGACCCATATAATGATCAAACAGCTTGTTTCTCACTATTCCATTCGTTCACTTTGAAAGTTATTTCAAACAGATCCTCATATGCCTCCTTTAGTACCTTTCCATCATAGTCCATTGATTTCTCAAATCAGTAATTTGTTGAATTTGTCAGCTAAATTCCAGAACTAGACTTAGTAGTGACATAACTGGATTAGTTTAAGAAGGTCCTGAAGTAAAAGATAGCACATAAATAGTGGTAATAGCTAAGACCAAATAGATTCTCCTATTCCATATTTTGTAGTAAATAGTATTTGACATTGGAATCCTTGGGTGGTTGCAAAAAAAGAGATGTGGCCAGCTTGATCTTTGCATTTATCAAATTCTTTTTCCAAATGTTTTATTCTGTCACTGGTTTCTTTTTTACTTCTTCAGTTTCATCATTACAGCCTTTCTGTACTTCTTCCATCTTGTTATTATAATCCCTCTGTACATCTCCAATAACTTCACCAATCTTGTTTTTAATCGGAATTAATTTTTGTTTTTAATTCTTTTTTAATATTACATCTTCTTTTTACTCCTGTCTTAAATTTCTATATGTTTCTTCTTGTTGCTCCTTTAATTTTCTGTTTCTTTCTTCTTTTCAATTTTTGTATCTTTCTTCTTAATCTTCTTTTAATTGTTTCATCACTTCTAGCACAGTTTGATTTTTTTAGCATGTTTTTGTCATCTTAAACAGTTGAGGTTCAAGTTTAATAAAAGTTTTATTTTCACCAAAATAGTCCTACTTCTGACAACACTTATATAATATATTCTATCCTTACACAGTTGCTTTTAGATTATTTGGTAAAAATAATGCCAAGTCCAGTCTCAATAATGATAGTGAATTAGTTTATTTCTTCCTTAATGTTTGCTACAAACTACTTACACCTGTAGGCCTAACTTCAAATACAAAACTTACATCAGATACTACTGTAGGTCTAATACTCTAATAACATTTGAAAGAAACTTCTTTGATTAATGGTAAGTATACCTAACTCACCAATATATTTACTTATAGAATTTCCTCACTAATTGTTTGAGTAATTGAATAGACAAGATAAATCTCACTTCTTACACTGACTTCATAAACCTCACTAAATAATCATTAACTTCACTAACTGCATACTCATTTGTAAATAATGTACTCCTGTCTACTGATAATAGATGAGGCTTGTCTACTATTACATAATCATCACAATTAACTGCTCCCTCTAGCAAACAACTAAACTATAACATTGAAAATACAGTTTATAACAGTACTTTTGTGTTATATATTTATACAAAAACAAGCATGTAACATCTGTATGAGAAATGAATGCTGGTAATATTTTACTTTACTAGTTCAATGTCAATGCCTTCAATGCTTACTTTAAGTAGACTTAAATACTGCTTTAATTCTATAATAAGGAATTTTTTCAGAGATTACAGAATATGTGTAAAACTACAATTTTATATCCAGTTCATGGTTCACCAACAGCTTGTTTAAGATGATGTCATATATATTGTTGCGTCAGCGAGTCACATGACTAGTGTGA